TTCCTGACATGTGCATAGATTTTTCATTAGGGCAATCAGATGGTCTAGGAGTCCAATTTTATTAAGCACATTGACATAACTGACACAATTTAAGGCTGTTCTATGAAGCAAATAATACAATGATGACGATGATGATGTTACCATTCAGTCATATCCAGCTCTTGGTGATTCTATGGGCCATGTCTCCCTACATCTTCTGATCTTGCACTACTTCTTTGAGTTGTTCTATGCTCTGGCTGGTGTCTTTTTGGTATTATTTGAATTTCTCGGTCCAACATGCATCACCTTTAATGTCTCATGTTCTTCCTTTTCTAAGCCAACTTCAACATCTGGTGTCTCCCTTTCCATGTAAAGCTCTAACCTGCATTAGATGATCATAAGCTTTCATTGGCTAGCATGTGAGATCTCTTATCTTACTGAAATCTGTGAACCACTAAAGCAACATAGCATCTATTCATACGTTAGAATTCATCTTGTTTTTTTATGCATCAAAATAAATTCAAGGAAGCAGGGAGAATTTACCCCCAAAAAGTTATATAGAGTTTCATTTCCTTTTAAAGAAATGAAAAGAAAATTTTAAGAAATACATATATTTTTACTGTAGATTTTCTTTTCGCAAGCTTCTCTTGTTGTAATTATAGCCTGAATATGTTTCACAAGCTCACAGTATCAGATACTGGTTTTGGAAACATCCTGTGGTTCGTTTACTTAAAACCTTTCAAAGTCACTTTTTTCCCTCTCCATTCTCAGTTTATTTTTAAACTGCCACTATTGTGAATGGAAAGACGCTATTAAAAAGATACCCCAAAATGCAAAACAAAAATAAAAACAAAGGGCACAATCCTGTTATTGTCACACATTAATTAAATTATGGTATAAGACAATAATTATTAAAACCTCCAACACAACAAAGCGGTCAGCAGTCCAGCTGAGAAAAAACAGCATAGTATAGGATAGAAAATGGTGGATTAGGACAAAATCTGGGTTTAAATCCCTTCTCAGTACTGAAGATTAACTGATTCTCAGTATGACCTATATAATCTTGTAGAACGATATGCTTTGCAAGTTGTCAAATGTTTCCATCCTCTATGAAAGATACTTCTGGATTTTCCTCACCTTTGTGGGCATTTAGGAATTGCTTCCAAATATTCCTTGGTAATGTTTTTGAGTTACTTTATTGTCAGAGGTGGCGAAAGGTGCTACTGCTGTTATGTTTTCAGTTATGTATTTTTTCATCACTGAGAAGCATCTAGGGCGCTCATTCTTCCCAATCTCAAAAAGGCCGTGAGTTTTATTGTAATAGCTTTCCCCTAAGTGTTTAATGAAGAAGCCAGACCGATCATCTTCTGGATACACTGTAGAGCAAGAAAGAACCTGACATGCACATCTGTCCCTTGGCCTCTATGTCACTAAATAAGAGGAATTGGGCCTGTATATAACACCAAGCTTTGCAAACAAGATGGGGCAGCTGTTGGTGGACCAGTTGCCCTAATGTCTAGCAGCAGCCATCCTTCAGTTTCTGGATTTTATAGCAAGGTTGATGGTGGGTTGCATGTAAACCTTTGCATGATGCACTTCATGTAAACCTTTGCATAATATAGTTGGATCCAGGTGCCTAATGGACCCTTTAGGCTTTCAGAGACCTTTACTAATTTCATAGGAAATTTGCATTGATCTCTGGGTGACAGAAATTACAGGAAGAGATGAAGCAAATAAAGGAATGCCTACAGCAGTGATGAAGAATGAACTCAACCAATAGTGTGCCTGTCTCTGGGATAATAGCTTATAGTATGACAATAACTTTGACTTCATTGTGTCTGTGTTAACTTTCCTCCGAGCTGCTGTAGCATGTTTGCATTTTTTTTCCTCTTTTTTTTGCAGACAAAAAGCCTTGCATTTGCTTCTCAGAAGTTTTCAATGATGACTCTAAATTGTCTGAAAGTGCTGGGATTTGGAGTCACTGTTTTATAGCACATTTATTGCTTCCTATGTAGGGAGTTTTAATCAGTATAGATGGGGAAAGTGAGGTTATGCTTGTGGGAGCTCCAGCTGGATAAGGTTTGGTCTACTATATCAATTATTCTCTCTAAGTGTGGTCTGGGAACAGACCCAGAGGAAAATAAAAAGGAAGAAAGGGGCACTGGTTATCCTTGCCAAAGACCTGTGATCGGTCAAGAGGTGACTAAGCTGTGTGTGACAGTGAGGAAGGCCTCCTGATCCAGGAAAGAGTGCACACCTGTTTAACCTGTGCAAAGCCTCCCCCGCCTTCAGCCATAGCTGCTACTTGCAACAGGAGCTGCCCAGCAAGACTTCCAAATTCCATACCAACAGCGTCTGAGAGTGCTACCTTGACAACGTACCTCTTTATTGATTTTTCCTTTTGCTTGAAACAGAAAAAATGAAATTATGACATGTGGTTCTAAAACAGATTATAAAATGTAAACATTATCAATTGATATGATAAAATAATTTATAACTGCTGTAAAAGAAAATCAGTCACTTGTTTTTATTTTCAAAATATCTCTAGAGTACTATGTGCGACCTAGAGGCTCTCTTAGAAATAAGAGATTATGTTGAGGGCGAATATTTTGTTCTGTAGCATGACAGCTTCCCATTAATGACTCTTTGAAACAGTGACATTTTGAAGGAGGACCTGATGTCAAAGGACATAAGAATAGTTGCAATATGATCTGGAGTTGGGGGAAGTTAACATCATTTCCTTGTCTTCTGGCTCTATAATTCTATGAGGTCAACCTCTACTGCAAAGGGGAAGAGTCTATTTAATCAGCCTATCCTAGATTACTGATGAATCCACCAAGGCAGGGCTGGGGAACTATGGCTCTTTTATGACCTGTGGACTTCAACTTCCAGAATTTCCCAGCCAGCCATGCTGGCTCAGGAATTCTGGGAGTTAAAAGTCCATAGGACATAAAAGGGTCATAGTTCCTCACCCCTGCACTAAGGTATCAGAGGGAACTTGGAATTATTCCTGAGATGCCTAGTTCAGTTGAGGCCTTGGTTGCAACTTGGAATGAGCATGTGACAAGGGACTTGGACTGGATAATCCTTATGTGAACTTTCTGTGTTCGTGGATCTCATAGGGTGCCCTAGTTTACAGAATAACTCCAGGAGAAGAGACAGCGCACCTATAACATTGCTGGAGGAAGACTAGAACCAAAGCCAACAAGGCAAAAGTGAGAACCTTTGTTATTTTGTGGTGTAAGAGTAGTAAAAAATAGTCTACTTCTCCACTTTTACAGCACCCGCAGATAGCTGGATCAGCAACTCAGCAGGTGTCTATGTCTCTTCTGGGTAAATGGATTGCATGGAAGTATATCCACTTATTCAAGATAGGAAATGGAAAAGAAAATTCTGGGGTGCTGGAGAACCACCTGAAGGGCTAAAGGGATGGGATATTGCTAAATAGTGTTATTTTGACTAGTACATTTGCAAAAAGGAGCATAATTCTCTCGAAACTTCAAACACCTCCTCCTCTGATTTAAAAGAATCACTGAGGTCTGCTTTAGAAGCCCATAAAATACAAGCACTCCCATTTCTACTTTTTGTTTTGTTTCCCAGAAAAAATCTTGCACAAAACAGGAAGCCTCATTCATACATCTGTGGTTGCCAGCTTGAATAGATGTAACCTGTTTATTACAGTAGCGGTAACAACACACAACTTTCTTGCAACAAGAGGCAAATATCCCCTTTTCTCCACTTTGCTACCATTCCTTATTTGGGGGAGCATTTATCTAAATAGCTTCAGGAGTATCCCACTTCAGCTTCTGAAGACTAGTATTTTACTATTTTGCTGGACCACTGAAAAAGGACTTTTATGCTGGTCTATGACCATAATAAAGTTTAAGAAAAACAAACACAGCAATTTTGTTTTAGTTACTTTTAACTGAATTTCACTCACTGCTTTTACTCCTACTGTTCCTCCATCACCTGTGTTTAAGGCAGCTTACAAAATCTGGCAAAAAGGCAGGTTTAAAGGGACTAAAGGTAGCATGGGATCCATAGGGGTAGAAGGGGAAAATCAGGAAAGTCAAAAGAGCAGCCATGGCTGCACGATCAAAAACTCACTCCTTTTTTTACATGTAGGAAGGGGATGGGTTATATGTGGGTCTGATTGGGGTAGATTGCAAGGGTGATGCAGAAATATAATTTTATGTCATTTTATTCCCTTTTACATATTTATGTATTCAATTGTTGCATTTTATCCTATAACTATTGTATTTTACCCTACTCCAATTTTAAATTGTTTGTTTGGAATTTTATTGGTAATATGTGTTTGAACCTGTACACTGACACGACCTATAGGCTAATCTATCTATCTATCCATCCATCCATCCATCTACCATATCTTTTCTCTCTCTCTCTCTCTCTCTGCATACATACGTACGTACGTACGTACGTGTGTGTGTGTGTGTGTGTGTGTGTGTGTGTGTGTGTGTGTGTCAGTGATGGTATTCTACCAGTTCGGTCTAGTGGCAATGAGTAGCAGAGACCAAACTGGTTCTCTCAACCACTCTGCTGTTGGGCCTGCCCACCTGGGCTCCCATGCTCACCTTTATCAATACTCTGCTTTTGAAGCGCAGCTGCTTTGCGCGGCACAGCAGAGTGCTGCGCGGCAGCTGCTGAAGCAACTGGGAGAGTGCAGGCTTGTAGGTTGTGAGTTGGAATGCCTCTGCGCCTGCGCAAACGCCTCTGCTCTTGCACAAAGTCCGTGTTTGGCGCGCACATACATGCAAAGTGTGTGCAGGCGCACGAAGTGCACCCACCAAGCCACACCCACTGAACCAGTGGTAGAAGTTTTTGAATCCCACCACTGGGGTGTGTGTCTGTGTGTGTGTGTGTAGGAAGGGGCAAAGTTATGATTATGTAGTTGCGACCCCCCCCCCCCTTGACTTTTTTGGCAGTACCTGGTCTTCCCTGAATAAGAAGAATGAAAGGATGGATTCCGAAGATGCTATGTGCACGTGGGTGAACTGGCTTACCCCTTTTGTGCAGCCATCCCTCCTTCACTATTGCGACTTCATTCATAATGGCGGAATTTCAGCTGTGTTGGTTGCCAAAAGTTCCACCCCTTCGCTGCAGGTAAAAGGATTCAACTCCTTCTCCTCTACTTTTCTTCAGCTACACCTAATGAAAAGAGAAGGAATAGCACAGCATCAATCTCGTGTAAACAAAAACATAGGTTAATAATAGAAATATATGATGAAGATTTATTTTGCCTGAAACACAAGCAAAACCCAGAGCAAAACATACAAGTGGAAGAAAAAGAAACAGCAACGGCAGTGATTTGTATTTAAGGATCTCGCATATTCATGGGATCAGCAAATATGGAAATGATTTCAGTAGTTAAGATGCTACATCATCTGGACAGAAGGAAATCAATCTCAATAAGATCTTGAACTATGGAGAATTGTCGAAATGAAGATTTCCCAGTGTTACAGATAAATCCCAGCATTTATATTTTAGTTTACTTAAACATTCTGTTATCACACTATTTAGCTGTTTTGGCACTTTAGGTGTTGACTCTTATCTCAACACTGAACACTATCGGGGCTGCATCTATGTGTAAAACCTAGGTTTGAGAGCTTTCTATATCACAACCTAAGTCACCTATGCACCCTAGCCTTATTTTGTTTTACTTTGCAAAACAAAAACAGGGCCCAGCCACAGGATCTTTAAAATGTACAAATAAATATTGATGATTCTGTGGAACATAAAACAAAGATAAGATTCATCCAAGAGGTTTCTTTACTCTTGGTTAAATGCAATATGGGAGCCCAGCCACTGTAGTTTCTAAACCATGGTGTATAGCTTATAATTAATTGTGTGAACCTAGCCAACTGTTCTGTTTATTTGGGTAAGGGAAATTACATGTTTGTTGCTATTGCTCTCGTACTCCCCATTTCTTGCTTTGGATACTGAAATCTTAATTTACCAGACTTTGATATAACAGACTTTGTATGCAACAGATGCTATTTTGTAAAGAGAATGATTGCCTCTGCTAGCTTCCTGGTTTGGAGAAAGAGCCTCTCTAGCCTTCAGAATGATCATTTCTAAGGTTAGGGAGGCTCTTTTATGGCCAGGAAGCTAAGGAATGTGATTGTTCTGGATGTTAGAAAAACTCTTTCATCAGATGCAGAAAAAGACAAAAGATAAGTGGACCAGGCATGGTGGGATGTAGAGGGCTTCTGCCCACTAGTGAGCCCGTAGCCCCTGAGGCACCCCAAGTGATTGCTTAATGACCACAACTGGGAGGCCTGGGATTGTGGCTGCTGAACAAAAAAGTTATATGGTGTCTTAATGACCAAGATTCAGGTCCCAAATGTGATTGTAAGTCAAGGACTATCTGTATCATGGAAGGTTGGAACTGTTTTCAAAACTCAAAGCTGAGTTTTATTTTCCCATTTTGTACATTGGTCGTTGAGATTGACAGGGGACAATTAACTGACAATCACAGTATAATCAGACTGCAGAGGAAAGATTTAAAAGCAAGGCCTTCACAATGCCAAATAAAGTAGGAATAACTCAGTTCAAATTACAATTTTAGGTTATTAAGCTAAGACATGTAATAAGCCTTATGTGTACATATACAGTTCTGTTCTTCCTTCTTTACTGCTCAGTGTTTTGCAATACATTTTGGAAGTCTTCAGAATTATGGGAAACCAGACACCAGGTTTAAAATAAGTTTCAACATTAAACCCATTTCAGACTTTGGTTTGTTCTGAAGCTGGAATTTGTTATTTCTCAGTTCAAATACAACACGACTATGATTAAATAAAAACCTCCAGAACCAAACAACATGAACTCAAGTGCACCTGCCAGTCTTCTTGTCCCAGAATAAAATTTTAATATCCAACAGGAAGTTGGCATATTTCAAAACGCACCATCAATCTTTGCTATTGACTTTACAGGCTCTGCAGGCATTGCTAGAAAATAAAAATGATGCATGGCTGCAACCTAATTCTTCATAAATAAAGACACCATCCTGGAGCACTGATAAGAAAAACTGAAAAAGCAGTATGGTTAATATATGGGTAGTCCTCAATGTATGACTGGTTATTTATCATTCAATGTTACACAGACTTCCCGAGGTACATAGGAGCTTTTCTTGAAGTTACAATGGCCACACACAACCCATGGTCACATGATCACATTTTGGATGCTTGGCAATTGACTCACCTTTATGGACATTCACAGTGTCTCACGATCACATGACTGTGATTTGGGACACTTTTTACCATTTCCAATGCTTACTTCCAGTTATCATTAAAAAAAAAAACCAACCATTGGAGAAAATTGATTCACTAAATGACCACAGCATTTAGTTTGCTTAATAACCATGGCATTCACTTAAACTGCAGCAAAAATATTTAAAAAGTCAGGTCTGGTCACAGGATGCCATGACTTAAGACCATCATTCTTAGCTCAATTTTATGGTTGTAAGTCAACCCCTGTAAGTTAGTGAGACCCACTGATAAAAGCTCTAACATCAACTCAGTTTAAAATCTCATCATATATTGGATCATAACTTCCATATCGTAACAAGTCCCCATAACAAATCCTCAGTTAATGACAATAATTGGGACTGGAATTTCCATCGCTAAGTAATGCGGCTGTAAACTACAATACCCATGACCTCATTGCTTTGTAATGGCAATCTCAGCAAACTCTGCTGTCACCGTTAAGCAAAGATCACCTTGTGTCTTCCTGGCAGCATTCAACAAACAATTACAGAGAAGCTGTCAGGAAGTTGGGGAGGGCTCACAAACAGGCCAGTGACCAAATATGTGACTGCTATGGCCCAGCACAAGGACAGCCAAGTTGGGGTGGCTGCTGCTGTGGGTGGGAGGGGGCAAAAGACCTTTCCCACTCCCAGAGCCTTCTCATCCTGGACATGAATTGTTTAAAACTTCTACTCTCAAAACGATGTTATAGAGCATTGCACACCAGAACAACTAGACACAAGGACATTTTTTCCTCTGCATGCCATCGCTCTGCTAAACAACTAATTCCCACAATACCATCAAACTATTTACTAAGACTGTTATTACTATTCTTCTTCTCATTCTTCCTATTACCTACCTCCTTTTCTACTCATGACTATGACCTTGTTGCTTGTATCTTTAGTATTTGCATTGTTTTATTTAGTTTCCTATTATGATTTTGATTGCTTATTTAGTATCCTATGACTATCACTAAGTGTTGTATCTTATGATTTATGATGCATTTATGATGACTACGATCATGATTTATCACTTACAACTTTTATGTACACTGAGAGCTTGTGCACCAAAGACAAATTCCTTGTGTGTCCAATCACACTTGGCCGTAAAGAATTCTATTCTATTCTAAAAAGTGGCTGCTGAATGCAGTGTAGCATCAGGGCAGCCAGTCCAGGGGTGAGGACTTCAAGACATCCTGTGCTCCATTGCCCCAAATTCACCATCTTTTCCGTCCTGCTGACAAAGTGTGTCCACCTGGCCATTTGTAAGGCAGCTATTAGCCATGTGGAACCTTCTCCCTGAGGCCTTGGGTGACTTTGAGAAGTCAGGAAGAAAGTTTTGCGAAGGGCCAGGCCAGATGTGGCTCAATAATGGTGGGAGGAAGATCAGCTGTGGGCAGTTGTGGTGATGGAGTGCGGGACGACAGGGTGGTGGAGTGCAGAACAGCCAAAAAGGCAGAGATGAGGGGAAATAAGCAGTGGGGGAAAGTTGAAGCACCTCCTATGATCATAAATAAGGGTGTGATACCAAGTGCCCAAATTTTGATCACAAGACCACCAGGGCACTGCAACAGCCATAATTTCAAGGACTGGTCATTATGCCATCCATTCAATGCTGTCATAACTTTGAACTGTCACTGAACAAATGGTCTTTAAGTGAGAACTACCCATAGAATAATGAAACTAAAAACAGCCTAGGAATAAGCTGCTGACTCCTATCTCACTAAACTGAAAATTTCAACAAGAAACCTTTCTTTTGGCAGCAATAGAGAAATGTTAATACGGACAGTTCTACTGTAATAAAAAAGCTGCTATCTACCGAATTCAAAAGCAGCAGTTCAGAGAAAGCCATATCTTTTCCTGGTATTTATTAATTAAGAAACAAAACAAAATAAAAACTTAGCACCTTAGCAACGAACTTCTCACTGTAGTTATTTTTCCTTTAAGGAAATGTCTTATCTGCTGCTTGTTAGCAAAACTGAATGTAAATCTATGCAAATTCACCAAGGAAGTGAAACAAAAGTCTATTATCATGAGAGAAAAACCTCACTTCCAAGAACAGCATTGTAGCTGAAGCAGAAGTATCTTTCATATCCTCAGTTTTAGCATTTTCCCACTCAATGTTTTCTAAAGCTGCCTTGCACTGACTCACACAGTACTTCTGAATGGATGACTGCAGTATCAGGCAGTAAAGGTAGTGGTCAGTTTGCAACCATAGTGGAGCCCAGAATTTTGGCTTTAAGTTTGTAAGTCGCAATTGTAAGTTGATGCACCATCTTTTTTTTTACAACAGTCATAAACTAAATCATGTAGTTGTTACGAAAATCAAATGGTTATTAAACAAATTCATTCTTTCAAATGGCCAATTATTCTCAGAAAACGAATAAAAAAAGTCACAAATTACAGTGATGTGATTGCAGGAGAACCTTAAGCAGTTATAAATGCAAGCTGCAATCTAAACTGCAATCACATGATCACGAGGTGTGGGTCCCCATAACTTCAAAGATGGGTCGTACGTGGCTTTTAAAGAAATCTGTCATAGATAAGTTTAAATAGTTTTAAGTGTTTGTTGATCAAGGATTATTTGTACTTCACATTTGTGAATATAGTCATTGCTTCTTTTTTTCTTCAACTGAGTTCACTCTGTAATTAGTTAAATCAGTTGACCTGGAGGCATCCAAAAACTAGGAGAGAAATCCACAAAACCATGTGAGGCTTCAATGTAGTGTCCTCAAATTGTACTACTAAATGCCCTGACACTGTTTTTCCAACAAATCTGAGATACAAAATAATGCAAAAATACAGTTGCTCAACATTGTCTCCAGATAACCACCCACCCATCCTCCAAGCTTCACATCTCCAATCAGTAAGACTAGCCTATTATTCAAGGCTAATATACATTTAA